TCCCGGCGCACAGGCCCGCCCCGGGCTCCAGCGGGGCCGGAGGCTGGGAGGAAGAGAACGCGCCGGGGGCTACCTCGGAGCCGATCATGTAGAATTCGCCGTCGTCCTCCAGCTGGAACTTAACGGGCTTCTGCCCGAAGGTCTTGCTCAATGCCATCATCATCATTGCGGCAGAGGGGTCCGGGGGCGGCCGAGGCCCTGCTGTGTAGACTCAGGAAGGCTGGGGCGGGGCTAGCCGGCACCCGGCTGAGGAGGATCGACGCCAGAAGGCAAGGGCCGGGCCGGGCTGGCGCTCGCGCCACCGCCGGGATCCTCAGCTGCCGCCGCGACGAACAGGCCTCCCTCCGTGCGCATGCGCGGGCGTTGACGCTAACGCGCGCGCGGCCGCCGCCTAAACAAAAGGCCGAGCGCGCGCGCGCGCGGGCTGACACCTTAAAGGAGCCGAGACTAGTTTCTCCTCCACACCAGGCTGCAGCTTGTCTGGTGCCTGGAAAGCTTCTCGCGGACAGAAATAGCCGCCGGGGGGCTTCCTGACTCACGCGGTGGCTTTTGTAGTCTCACAGTTCGGACTCACGGGCGAAAACAGGAAATGGGGCCTGAAGGCCAGGAGAAAGACGTATCTGAAAGCCTGAGCACGTTTTGTGACCTCAGTCCACAGCTGTTTCTGCAGCTGTAGAGATGGGCAGAATGGCAACACTGGGTTGGGGTTGGCCTGGGCAAAGGCTCTGGGGTTTGGCAATATTCAGTGAGACGCAGGTGGTATTTGGTTTGGCCCGAGCGTCAGATGAGCATTGAAAAGAAGACACCTCGGTTCTTTCCCTAGCTCTTTGCTTTGTGCCTAAAAGCCCAGCCCTGCCCTGGCTCTATCCCGTAGCCTCCCTACGGATCATCCAACGGCAAGGAAAGTGTCAGAGCAGTTCGTGTATCTTAACCATGCTGTGAACCAAAAATGACCCACTATGATTTCATACAATTCAGTCTAATAAAATTGCAGCTGTGATTATGAGAATGTACTTTTTGCTTTGAACCCACGCCTTTACACGGAGCTACATCTGCAGATATATAGATACAGGTATATATTTGTATCTGTGTATGTGTGTGGATTTTTTTTTTTTTTTTGAGTCAGGGTCTTACTATATAGTTTAGAATGACCTTGAACTCACTATGTAGCCCAAGCTGGCCTTGGGTACAGCAACCCTCCTGCCTCAGCCTCTTCAGTGCTATGACTACACCCATGAGCCACTATGCCCAGCCTTTACTTTTTTTTTTTTTTTTTGAGACAGGGTTTTGCTAAGTTACTGTGTTAGCAGGTTGCCTGGGCTAGGCTCAAACTAGCAGTCCTCCTGCCTCAGCTTTGCAGAGTGCTGGGAATACAGGCATGCTCCAGGCTTGTTAGATTCTGTTATGAAGACACAGGGGGCTGGAGGGCAGTGCAAGGGGCTGCTGGACAATTGGAAAGGCTGGTGGTAACTGATAGGCTTTTCGGCAGAGCAGTAGCGATAGAAAAGATAAGAGAAGTCTTGATTAACTCCAAAGACACAGAGAAGATTGAGGACAGATAGGACAGAGCCTCCGGCCAGAGACAAAGAAAGCTGAGGCTTTTAGGGATTTTTACCAGGTTTGGGGTTTGAAGGGGATGTTTAGAAATACCTGAGGAGGACCGGGGAGATGGCTCAGTGGAATAAGCACTTCCCTGGCAAGCGCAAGGGCCTGAGTTCAATAAAAAAAAAAGAAATACCTAAGGAGCTGATTGGGGTCTTTTCTGTGGCAGTGGAAAAGGTGAAAGGAAATTGTACCCTGAGCTGGGTTGGAGAAGAAGGGGGGAGGTGGTCTCTGGGAAGATGAGCTGTTTTAAGGGCTTTAGCCATATTAGACGGCCACCATAATTCAGCAGTTTCTACTAGGACCAGAACCTATCAGTAGCCATGAGGTGTTTGTTTTTTTTTTTTTTTTTTTTGCGCTCTCATAGCAGTGAAGATTATCAAGATATTTTAGGATGTGGTTGGATGATGACATAATGGGATGAAATGACCACCACTTTGGAGGATGAGCTGAAGGCGGGGTGGGGAAGCAGGGAACTAGCTAAGAAGTTGTCCTAGTTAAGTAGCTGTCCCTACAGAGGTGACCAAGGAAGAGAGCAGGAAGAGCCTTGAGCACTGTGCCCCAGGGCCCAGAAACTTGGGGGCGAAGGGGTTCAACTCTAGCTCTTAGCCCAGGGCCCACTTTAGCCTGGTTCCTCACCCTGGCTACATAGTCAAAGAAAACACACAGGCAGGTAGAAAACGATTGTGTTTAATGATAGTCCTCAGTTAAAAAAAAAAAAAAAGGCTTTGTTTTGTACACTGTACACACATTTACATTGCTTTGGAGGATACCAGTGCTAGAATGAGGGCTTCAAGAGGAAATGGGCTGGACAAGCCTGAGGTATGTTGAGGCCTCCAGGCCTCAGGATCTCCAGGGAAGAGCAGCCCCCAACCCTGCTGGCTGTGGACATTTTAGCCTGAACCCTGGGGAAGTGATCTCTAGGATCACCAGGCAGAAGGTAGCCCAATCCCAAGCATCTACCGGGAGTTGACTTCTCAGGAAAGAACCCTTCTTGGAGGCCCAGGTGCTTGGCCAGAGCAGAAGGTCATGGGGACCCTGGTACCCCAGCTCTAGCACCAGTACCCAAAAGGAACCTCAAAGCAGGGATAGAGTGAGGACATTATAGTTCCCCATCTCTGCTGAGGTCCTACCCTGAGGCACAGTGATGGGAGACCCAGGTTTGGCCATGACCTGCAGAGGTGGTTATAGCTGGCCCAAGACCACCCTCCTCTAAGTAGGGCCATAGCCTCCCTTCCCTGCCCAAGTTGAGACACTTGCTGGCAGGTGACCACGACCAGCGTGGCCCTCCCTGCAGTTGTCATGGTGATTGTACCCCCCCTCCCCCCACCCCAGAGGAGACATGCCTGATTCCAGAGCCACAAAGGTTGCTGTGGGTCTCTATCCTGATATAAGTGGCTGGACATGGGTCAGTCCCCGAAGGCATCCAAGCTGTTGTCAGTGGAAAGTATTGGCAGGTTCAGCACAGCCAAAGAAGTCAGGGCCCACAAGACGGGGGAAACCCTCCAGAACCTTCACCTTCACAGGGTCAAACTTCCAGTAGAGGTGGCCACGCAGGAAATAGGCATAGCCTAAAGAGAAAAAAAGGTCAGGCATAAGCAAACGGATGTTGGCCCCCATGTCTGCCTAGCAGGCTCTACCCAGGGACAGGGACAGGGCGAAGAGATGAGAAGGCCTTGGCTACTGCCAAGTTATTTGAAACCTACAGGCTTCAGAGCTAGCCTTCTAGAACCTCCTTTCCCTCCAGGCAGCCTTTCTGCCTGCACCAGGGTTCACTCTTGGGTACCCTGACAGATGCCAGGAGCTTGAAGATTTAATTCTTATCTCTTTTTTACTTATTTATTTATTTATTTATTTATTTATTTATTTATTTTGCGAAACCAGAGATTGAACTCAGGGCCTTGCGCTTGCTAGGGAAGCGCTTATTCTACTGAGCCATCTCCCCAGTCCCCAATTTCTTATCTCTTTAAGAAAGCAGGTACCACTCTCCTCACCAACCCCTTTGTCACCCTACTTCCTCATCTATCAATCCGACTACAGAGATGGCATCCCGGAGTTCCAGAGCTGGTGGCCACACTAAGACAGCTTTTCCAATATCTCCCAATAAGGGAAAGCACAGAAGCAAAGACAGGCTGGCAGGTGAGATCACTGGGCTCCGAGCTGCAGCCTGGCTCCAGGCTTCTGTGCTGGGGGGAGGCCAGGTTAGAAGAAGAGACTATCCAATGGGAGTTCTGGCACCAGTACTGTCCATCCCAGTGCCTTCAGCTAAGGACCTGAGCCTCTCTTTGCCCCTTTAAAAACTGGGCTCATAAGAAGTGTTACATAGTGATGCATGCCAGGAAGCTCAGCATGCTGGGAGGCTGAGGCAGGAAGATCACAAGTTGGAGCCTAGCCTGACCTTAATAAGACCCTATATCAAAATAAATATTAAAAAAGGATTGGGGATTGGGGATGTAGCTCAGTGTAAAGACTCTAGGTTCAGTTCCAGTATTTGAAAAAAAGAAGAAAGGAGGCTGTGACTGAGGGACATAGGCATGCCCTTGCACCTCTCTGCCCTGTTTTGTCATCTCTAGCATGGGCTAAGCACCAGCACCAGTTGACTATCAGGAGAGTAGATGTCACTGGACAAAGGAGGTGTGAAGAGTTGGGCTTCCAGAAGTGGGTGTGAGGGCCCAGCCACCGCCTGGTGGTAGATGCAGCCATTACACCCACATCCCCCAGTGGCTTCCCACCAACCCTCCAACACACCGTCGGCATCCTGGAAGGCCGCATCAATCTCTGGGGGCACCCCTCGCCAGTCAGTGGCCCGGCGGGGCACAGGACTGTCCACACGTCGTGTGCTGGGGTGGAAACGCCAATAGTCCCCGCCTCGGAAGAAGTAGATCTTGTTCTTCTCAGAACCCCAGACCAAGGCAGCATGGACTGGAGACTCTACCAGGCCCAGCTCAGAGAGGGGTGCAGGCCCCAGGACTGGTTTCTCTCCATCGTACACCCAGTACTGGGTACCTGCCAGAGAGTGAAGGTTGCAAGGAGCTGTCAAGACACTGCTGTTACTCCTAAGCCTTGTGTGCCTGCTGGGCCAAACCTATGGGCCAATGCATGTTTAGCATTCCTGGCCCCAAAGGGAGGTTGGGGCTAGCTGGGAAGCATTGGCCAGTGAAGGCTGTAAAGTAGCACATGAATGAGGTTATTCTAATCAACAGAGGGCTGCTTGGGGTTCCTCTTCCCCCAGGATTTGGCTGCCAATCAGAAATGCCTGATGACCACTCCCTGGCCCAGCCCCTGCCATAGAAGGTCCCTGGCTACAATGGAACTCACACAGTCTCTCATGCTGCACCTTTGTTTATGAAGTTCTGCCACCTGGAATGTTCCAGGCTCGCATCTCTACCAGCTGAGAGTGGAAAGTACAAGCTCCAGATCACCAGACCTGAATCCGATCCCTGTTGTACACTTCCCAAGCTGCACCCTCGAGAATCACTTCACCACCTCTAGAACCCCACACCAAATGGGTGCCTTTGGGGGTACAGTGCACCAGCACACATGGTGCCCCATTATGCAATACTTTCAGTGCTATTCTGATCTCAACAGCCATCTCCTTGGGAGACTCCCAGCTGTGACCAAGGAGTGAGCCATGCTCTCTCTTGGCTCTGGGCTTGCAGGGCAACTTATCCATTCATGTTATGTCCCTGGAGAGCTGTTCATTTGTTGCTACCCTTGGTTTTGACATTCCTAGCTCCAGGAAGTCTCTTGAGCCGCTTTTCAAACCTACTTACCTTGGAAAAACCAAATATGGCCCTGGGCATCTTCAAAGGCTGCATCCACAAAACTGGGCAGGCCCTGCCAATGGCGAGAGGCCAGTGCAGGGTACCCAGGCTGTAACCGGCCACCACGCAGCCTCCACACAAAGCCCGCTTTGAAGAAGAAGAGCTCGCCTCGGATGGTGGAGACAGCATCAAAGGAGGCTTCACAGGCATCTGGTGGAGTTTCCGGCTTGGGTGGGAAAGAGGAGCCAGAAGAGAGGCCTCACTGGAGCCACAAAGGCCAGAAGGAGTGAGGGACATACTGGGACAGAGCCTCACCTCCTGTCTTCCTACCCTCACAAGTCTCACCTCCAGTGGTGCAATCTCATTGGTGTCTACTCCTCCTTGGGGTCCCAGGACTGGTGCGTGGGAGGTGGGGGCCAGCCATGGCCGACCATACAGGTGTTGGATGCCCCTGCGGTCATCTGGGCTGAGGCTCAATGGGTAACGGAAGGTGTAGAAAGGGGACATAAGGGCCTTAGCTGCTGTTGTATGTTGCAGCCCCAGTACATGGCCAAATTCATGAGCTGCCACCTGAAGCAAGTCTGTGCCTGGAAAAGGGAGGCAGGTCAGCAACACCCCTCCCCGCCACACCTCCCAGCTCCAGATCCCGGCTCAGGGACCATGGCAAGTGCCCTCCCCATTCTTTATAATCTCAGTTGCCTCATCTGGAAATGGGTTGCCAGGCCATACCCTGGTTGTCCCCAATAGTCCAGGTCTCATCATAGTCGAAGTGGACGTCCCCTTCTCGGTGGGTCTTGGGGAAGAAGGCATGGGCTAGGATGCCCCCAGGCCCATCAAAAGGCAGGTTGTCCCCATGCCAGTACCTGTGGAGAGGTGGGAGCAGAGTCAGTGGCTGCTGGCAGTGGGGTTTATTCCCGGAAGGGTCCCAGTCTGCAGGTTCACCTGGTGAAGTCGATCATGATGTCAGCACGGCCCTCATGCACCTCGGTGAAGGTGAGTGGTGTCACCTTGCTCCATACCTGTAGGGCCTCCGCCACCGTCTTCCGTACCTGCTCCCGCACCAGCTGCCATGGGAACCGGAGAATTCTGGGGAGGGGGGAGGCGAGGAGTCTGACCCTGGGGCAGGCAAGCCCCTATGATGAAAGAGCCAAGTTGCTCCTGAATGCTCAGTATATGTGTGTATGCAAGGGCCAAAGACAGTGTGCTTTGGGCCTCAGGTCTAGCCAGGCAGTCTCCCTGGCCACATGGGTGCGTCCTTTGTGTTGACTTGTATGTATTTAGATGCATGCAGTTCTGCATTTGGTGCAAACAACATGGGACCATGAGTCCTGAGACCTGGCAGTTCTATTCACTGTTGGAGAGATCCTGGGTCTTCTTTTTTTTTTTCTTTTATCTGACACAGGGTCTTGATATGTAGTTCAGGCTGGCCTTGAACTCCGCTTTGGGCTCAGGCTGACTTCGAACTCACAGTGATCCTCATGCCTCTGCCTCTCAAGTGCTGGGATTCCAGGTGTGCGCCCACCACACCTGCAACCCTGGGTCCTTAAACCTCACCTATATTTCCAGTTCCACACCCAAGGAACTCCCAAGGCCTCAACAGCCTGGGTTCCAATGCTGTGTGCCGCTAGACCATTCTTCTCTCCTAGGCTAAGCCTTGGCTTCCTCATCTTTTTAGGAACTTCTTACACCATCCGGTGAAGAGCAGGCTACTCCCTATCTCTGTTCTCCATAGTTCACAGCTACATGTGGCCTACATTGTGATGGTAGACTCTGGGAGGACAGGGCTGATTTGCATAGAGTCCCAGGCCTGCCCTTTTCAGACACACCTATCTCCACACATATGCTGAGACTCACTGGATGATGACAGAGGGTGGCCCCAGTGCTGCAGGAAGGTGCGGGCTTATATGTGTGTGTGTGTCTCAGACAGCATGCAGGTTGTTAGTCCATAGACGGCTGGGAGCACATGATGGATCTGTCAGCCATGTAGATCAAGCCCTGGCATGTGTCTCAGGAAGCAGGGGTGAGGGTAGCAGGCTCTCACACAGACACAGTTCTGTTCTCATGGCCTCTGGCCCCTACCTGTAGGTGAGGTCTGTCTTCTCCCAGCGCCCTCCAGACAGCACAAAGCGCTTCTGCCGGTTGCGTGCACTCGGCCCATCAGGTGGGTCAGGCACACCACAGCGTGGAAGTCTGGGGCCACCAGCAGGCCGGGGGGCCTCCTGAACAGCAGAAGCAGATGTCAGGCTACTAGACAGATCGGCATGCCAGGCTTGCTGCCCCTTACTCACAAGATGGTGGTGGTGGGGGTGGTGGTGGGTGTCCTGGGCAAGAGAGAGGATATAAGAGCCAGGTTAGACCTCAGGTCCTCATGGTCCCGGGTTAGATGCGTGGCTCATCAACACAACCAAGTGCGGCTCCAGCACACTGGGTCACTGGGCAAAGGGAGTGGCTGGCAGAGGCGCCTGCACATGGCTAAGCTGACCCTGCTTTCCTGATACCTTGTTTGAAGGCACTGAGCTTTCTCCTCCTCCCTTTCCTCCTGTCACCAACCTTAGCTGCTCAGGCCAGTGTGGTCTGGATGGAAAGACTATGAGCCTATGAGCCCCCAACTGTACTCTCCATACATACCCACAGTGGGCCCCAAAAAGCCTGCTGGAGAAACACCAGACAAGTTCCTCCTGCTCTCCCCATCAGCTCTCAGCAAACTCATTTCCACCCTCCTTTCTTCGGAGTTCCATTGAGCTCAGACACACCCAGCGCCTGGTTATATAAACAGCCTCTGCCCTTTCTCCTGCCCAGGATGTTCCAAGTTCCTCCCCCAGCACGGACCAGCTGTGGCCCCACCATGTGGCCTTGTTTGTCACCTGACAGATGGTAGTAATAATCCCACCACAACAGTGTTGATTTGAGGATGAAACATCGTGTGTGTTGAGTACTCAGCACAGGCTTAGGCACCTGGGAAGGGCACCTGGTAACCGAGGTCTGCCTTCCTTTCTTAGAGGGGCTACTGGGGATTGAATCCAGACTCTCCTGTTTTTTACCACTGAATGACATTCCTCCCCCCACATCCCTTGAGATCTGATTTCTAGCAGAGATGGTTCTGTTCACATCCTGCCAGGGCTGGGCACATAGTAGGGGCTAGATCTTGATGTGCCTGCACCTTTCATGCAGGGAGGGTGGGGCAGCTAGTTACCAGACCCCCAGGCCCACCCTGCCCAATCCTCAGTTCTGACGTGAGTTGTATCTGCTCAGCCTCTGCAAGTCCCCAGGGCAGAAGTCATAGTGCTCAAGCAAGAAGAAAAAAAAGAAAAAACAAAAAAGCCACAAGCTCAGAGAGGTTACTGAGGAAGGAATGGTAGAGCCAGGTGAGGATTCTGGCGCCCCAGGCCAAAGGCAAGGACCTGGATAGAGATAGTACACAAAGGCCAAGTGTTCTCCTAGGCTGGAGAAAGATGGAGCCAGGCTGTTTGCCGGAAACACTTGGCACCTGTCTGCTCTGGGCCTGTCTGATCTGGGCGGTGCAGCCTTCCCATAGCCATATTTGGGGTAGGAGCCTAGCCCTTCAGACTCCGCCCTCAGCCTCAGCCCTGGCAGCTCTCCCAGGCTCTGGGGCTCAGATCAGAAGCTCTAAGTTCTAGAGTTGAGGACTCAACTTTTAAGAATGCTCTGTGTTGAAGGAGACTTCCAGACCATCAGGGGTACTTGGAGTCAGTCAGGATGCAAGGCCCTAGACTAGTTGCCTCCTAGTTTCAGGGATGGCTTGATGCAAGGTTTCCTGGTAAAGCACAGCCTCCGTAGGCTGTGGTTCCAGCTGAGGCTGGGCTCCCTGTTAATAAGTACTTGTCACTGTGGTGGGCTAGGGCCCTGCCCACAGCTGTACCCACATGCTCCCAGTGCCCAGGAGAGAAGCCCTCATCAACTCCACCATAACTGTGTCCATTTCTCCTATAAAGAAGTGGAGCAACTTGCTCAGAGAACATCTGGCAGGGTACGGGACCTCTAAGCTCACAAGCTACCCACCACCCGCTGCTTTGTTCCTGGAGATTTATCTATTCCCCAGAGGAGGGACCCAATGCTGATCTCATCCTCATGGCAGAAGAGAAGGAATGGAAAATTATTACGTACCTGCTATTTCCCAAGTGTTTTGTGAAGTTCAGTGAGCCCCACACCCCCATGTCATAAGGTGGGGACAATGCTTTGTGAGAGTGTGGATACCAATCTGTGTGACTAAATGCAAGAGCCTGCCCACCCCCTCCAGCCTACAGGATAAACAGATTCTTTCCCTCAAGCCGACAAGGGGTCTGGTCCCCTGGGGACCCCAACAGCCCACAGCCCAGCCTGCCAGTTCTATTTCTGACAGAAATCTCCTTTCTCCTCTGCTCCCTGGTGCAGACAGCCATGGGGGAGAGAGGGGAAGAGCTGGACGCACACCTCACTGGGCCTTCCTCTCCTTCCCCCATGAGATTTAAGTCCTCAGCCAGGCCCCTGCATCACGGATGGCACTCTCAGTGCAGCACAGAGCCAAGCTCTGAGGCTCTGAAAGCCTAGTTGTATCCCACTGTGACACTGGATGAGTCAATGCCATGTTTCAGCCTCAACCTTCTGGTCTATCAAACTGGGATGATAAATTTGTCCCTATGACAAAGGACTAAGTGATATCCTTCCGTAATGTCCACTGCGGCCTCTGGCACAGGGAAGCACTCTTATTTGGCCCTGCTACCTGCCCCTGTAGTTCCTTCCTTTCCCAACTTTCGAATGCATTTTCCCAGATTCTTAGTCTTCCCAGGACTATTGGGCTCCAGTGAGGCAGGCTGGTGGGCTCAGCAGTCTCATCTACAGCCCAGAGGAGTGAGGGGAACAGCCATCACCCTATTTCCCAGAGCAGAGCATGAAAAAAGAGTCCAGAGAGACTGAGAACTTTGTCCAGCATCACAAAGCAAGTCAAGCAAAAGCGGGGCTCAGACCTGGGGCTTGTGCCTCCCCACTCCAGGGCTTTCCCTCACCTCTACCCCTCAATTCTTGGCTTATTTCCCAAATCCACATTCCTGAGAAGGATTTCTAAAGTATTTCTGCTTCTAGTACGTTCCCTCTTCCTAAGCAGTAGCCTCCTTTGGGCTGCCCCACCCTAGGTGCCAGCTCGCTGTGCCCGCCTCCCTCAGACTAGCAGCCACCAACCCTGTAGTTTCCGACACACTCAAGGAATTTCTTGGCTGACCCAGTCTCCTGGTTAAACTCAGAGACTCAAGGGCAGCCTCTGAGCTGATTTCAAATCCAGAAAGTTGGAGGTAGCTGGTAGAGGGGAGATTAGGGAAGACCCAGGTTAGGAAGCCACTGAATAAGACCAGGCTAGTTACATCCTCTCTAGGCCTGTTTGTTTCACTCCAGTAGAGACAATTAACTACAGCTCTGCTTTCTGCTGTCAGCAAGAGGCAACCTTGAGAGAAGGAACTTTGTCAGGCTGTGAAGAAGACAGCAGAGCAACACCAGGCAATTCCGGGAAGCATCATGCCCATCAGAGGCTCAGAGAGATCAAGTAACCTGCCCACCCCGTGGGCATTCATCTTCCCCACGCATGTAACAGCCCCTTCCCACCCACCCCCTCTGCTGGCTCCACAAAGGAAAGCAGCTTTGCCCCACTGGGCTGTGGGGCTTTCTTTCATCAGCCCTGAAAGCTGGGAACTGGGATGGATAAATATTTACAGAGCTCTTCTGGCCCCGCTGACGACAGCCTAGGGATAAACATGCTGGAGGCAACCCCAAATGCTCCCTGGGACAGACAATAGACCAGCTCAGAACCCCCACCCCTGCCAGCCCCCAATCCCAGCACTGAACCTGCACAAGCATCAGACTGGCAGCTACAGGTGACAGAGTGTCTCCAGCATACCTAGCATTGTTTCATTTAATCCTCCAGGCTCAGCAATAGACCCTGTTAGCTCCTCCAGCCCCATCCTCTCAGTGCAGGTGGATGAGATGAGGTTCTGAAGGCTGCTTACTGCTTCCCTAAGTGTCATGTGGGTCACCCACATCTCTCCAATTCCCCAACCCATACGTTGAACTAACTGCTACTGGAGTATTCCCAACTAAGGTCTAAGCTCTAGGGGACTGAGAGGGGCCAGGGAACATCATTCCTCTCCACCTTTCCCGCCAGCCCTTTCCCCCATAGCCAATGGCAGGCAAAGTTGGCACGTAAAAGCAGGCGTGGTTGAGCAGGCTGTCACACCCTTTCGCCCCCATTGTCACCTGAATTGATCACACTTTAGCTGTGGGACAGAGTGGACCAGATGCCCAGGAGCCCTCAGGCCATGCTTGTAGTGGTCCAGACTCTGGTCCCAGGCCACGCTGTGCAATCCTTGTGGTGCTATCAGCCCAGCTGTGACAGTCCCTCCTCTCTTCACTCTGCTGTGCTCTCTTGAGCACACATTTTCTCCTTCTGTCTTCTCCCCATCCTTCCTCAACTTTTCACCCTCTGAGAGTCTCACCCATCTCTTTCTTCCTGACACTACCCAATGTGCACACATAGTCACTTACACTCATGGCCCCCTGGTGCCAAGTGTTCCAAACTTGTCTCCCACAGGTGCGGAGGCGGCGGCATCCCCTCTACACGTACGCCCAATTTTCCCCAGCGCCTTGGCTTCCCTCCCCAGCTCCTCCTTTGTCGTCCGCCCAACTGTGCACCTGGAGGTGTGTTCCGTGTGGCCACACACCTGGAGGCTGACACCTGCTTGGGACCTGCTGGGCTTTGTCCCTGTCATGAATAGGAGGCCCTGTAACCACTCCCTCTGCTACCTCTCCCAGTAGACATTCCGGCATCCGCGGTTGGGGCGCGAAGAGCAGGTCCCCAACGCTGGGAGGGGGCGTGGGTTCAGCGCGGAGCTCCGCCTCACTAGCTCGAGCGATCCCCGCGCAGACTCCACTTGCACACCTCCGGGGACGGGAAGCTCATTATCACACCCATGAGAACCCAGAAGCCGGTTCCGGGGCCAACCGCGCCAGGCCACCCCGGGCGCCCCAGTGGGTTCAGCTCGACCGCTGGGCCCAGCCCTCGTGCCTGGCCCTCCCTCTGGGAGGAGCTGCAAGCCGGCGGCGGGCACTCACCAGCGGCCGGGCACGGGCCAGCGGCGGCGGCAGCAGCAGGAGCAGCGGGAGCAGGAGGGCGCGCGGGGCAGCGCCGCG